AATGATTAGCTTATGGGAGCAGAGACCTTGGTGAATAAGATTAGTTCCTTTATAAAAAAAAAGGCCCAAGAGAGACCCCTAGTACCTTTATTAAAGAGGCTGAAGAGAGACCCCTCACCCCTTTCACCATGTGAGAACCCAGTGAGAAGCCATCTGTGAACCAGAAAGTTGGCTCTCACCAGACACCAAATAAGCCAGTGCCTTGATATTGGACTTCCACCCTCCACAAATATGAAATAAATTTCTGTTGCTTATAAACCACCAACTTTATGGTATTTTGTTATAGCAGCCTGAATGGACTAAGACACACATTTAAACTTTTCACCATTGATTGCATCATAGTACACAGTAGAAATACAAATATTTGTTGATTTGGCTTGAAAATTAGTCTGAAAGGCTTGGATATCATATAAGAGATCATGTAAGAGATCATCTTGTATCATACAAGATACGAGAGAGATGGTTGGACATGGATTATTTTGTAATTAAAAATAAGAAACAAAAAGGGAGGTGCTATATATGTTTTCCAGCAATGGAGTGGCAGCAATAACAACTATCTTTTATAGAGCTCACGACAGTTTACATGTCAAACGTGCTGTTAGGACCCACATCTTCTAACTCCAAATCTTGGGCTTGGTTCATTTCTCATAATGCATTTGGAGCCAAACTCTTGTTCGAGCAAGGATGTGCAGGGTATATTCTGTGGAAAGGGACTGGAGTTTCTAATATGTTGTTGCTGCTGCTGTTTTGTTGTTTAGAAAGTAAAAACATTGAATAGACCTGCAAGAACAGGGTGGAGGATTTGGTTTGCAAAAGTATTTAGGAATGTGATGTATTATAATACAGCTCCTGAAATCATTTGTAAGAGCCTACATTAGCAGTTGCTAACCATCTTTTGTAATTTTTATAAATTGTATATATGCTTTACCAATAGAGCTGTAGATTTTTCAGCAGGTTGGATTGCCTACTTTTATACCATTCCTAAATATTTGTAGTAGTCTTTCATTTTAGCACAAATTATCTCAAGGGAAATGTGCAATCTTCCACCTAGATCTATTTGGTATGACATTATAGTATAGTTTATATATTAAACATTAAATGACGATTTTCATGAAATTGTAAATTTAAAATACAAAATTACAACATACACTGTCAATACTTGAGATGATTATGGTCTAAACTTTATTTAGGATGTATATTTAAGGTTTTTATATAATTTACTTTAAATGGAGGCATACATTATATATCAAAATGGAACTGTCTACAGCAATCTCTTTATCTTTAGTCTTTTTTAGTCTCTTGTTTTAGTACTTTAATATTAGACAACAAGTCAGAAGTTTTCAACATGTCATGGATTTAAGAACTGAAAGATTTCTCATTAATTGTTTTGGGCTATGTTTTTCTAACTTTAAATGTTAATGTTTTTTGATCCATACACATTAATTAAAATGTTATTAATTTGAGCTATAATCATCTAATCCTCATCTCTTTTTCCTTGGCATTTTTTTTTTTTCTTGACATTTATTAAAACATTTTATTGGTTTGCTTCTTTGCACTCTGTAAAACTCTAGCTCATGTTATGTACAATATTCTGTGAATACAACCCAGTTCTTCACAGCATTTACTTTTTTTTTTTAAATAACATTTTGTATTATTGACTCCCACCCAATTTATTGCCCACTATTTGTAGCCAGATCTTTCCCTGTGGCACCACTGCCAGTTCAGCATTCCCTTATTCTATATTTGTGCATTTTAATTTTTCTTCTACGGCCTGTCTTCACTGAATCTTATTTTTTAATTCCATCCCAGTTCTCCAGTTAACAGCAACAAAAATCATAATATATTTTAATCTTCCCTTCTAAAACTAAAAAGCTGCAAAACCAGCATTTACAGTATTATATGTAGCTTAGGAAGCCAAGATAGTTTATTTTGTAAAAATGCTCAT